GAATTGAGGAATTTGTGATGAATTGAATGCATGTTGCCATGAATTTGTTGCATGTTGCCCGTGAATGACGTGAATAACACGATGTATGCATGTGCAGTATCAAGCAGACGCAGAATTGGAGAATTTAGAATTTAATGCATGACCAGGCCATCGAGAATGGCCATAATGGTCCATGACAGGCCACTAGGGCACACCAGGTTGAACACTGCTGCAAAACGACGGAGGGCTACGCGCTTGTCCTGCGAGTTGGCTTGTACTGTCTTTGAACCGTAGTTTCTTTCAAGGCCCGAAGGGAACATGTACAAATACACTAGGCCCCCACAGTCCTCAGGGTTTTGTAAATTCATGAGGCCCCACAGCTGTCAAGTCTCAGAACAGCGTGTTGCAGCAGTTCGTGATTTCAGGGTACTGGGATGGGGATGCAGGTTTTTAAGTAGGGTGCTGATTCGTGCCGCGCTGAGGTAGGACAGAAGATCACGAAGCCCGAAACTTTACTCCCAATCTCAAGCGTGATGTACCGGTCCTTGTGAGCATCCATCCTGTATCTAGCTAACTCAATGCCCGTGGTCATTCCTCGAACAACCAGAATCACAGCCTGGCGCAGGATCTGGAATGGCAGCAGAACGACATGGATGCAAGGTATGGGCTTCGCCCTCCCGCCAGCACACGGCCCCCTACTCCCCCCCCCGAAACGGGCCAGAATGTCGTGCCGTCGTCGCGTCTCCAATAGGAAACCCGCCCTCCCGAGCCCCGGTTATAGAAACCACTACCCCGCGGAAGCCAGCGCCATGGACCAAGTTTCTGCGACAGTGACTGGGACCCTGAGATGCTTTTTCTGGAACAACGAGCGTGACGTGAGGGCTCGCTTAGGGCCTTCTGCAAAGGTGGGACATGCGAGCCTTCGAAAGCCTCCTGCAAAACGGATTCATTGAAAGCACCCTGGGATGGAAGGCGCTGCCGCTGCCTGGGGGCAAGAAATTCCTCGGTGCCATCACAATGCGCACTAGCACCCTGGAACTTTGGAATGTACTGGCGCAGCCTTCTGCATAAGGCGACAGTGTGAGGACTTCGGCAGGTCTCGCATGATGCATGAAAACAACAGATGAGCACGCAAAAATGTGACTGTGGACAGTAGTGGACGGGCGCTGGAACGTCATGGCGATGCTCAAACCCGCTTGGCAGAACATGAGGACTCGCTGAGGGCCTTCTGCAAAGGTGGGACATGCGAGCTTTCGACAGCCTCCTGCAACATGGATTCATCGCAAGCACCCCGGGATGGAAGGCACTGACTGGGGGCACGAAATTCCTCGGTGCCATTACAATATGCAATGGCAACCTGGAGCGTTGGAATGTACTGGCGACGCCTTCTGCATAAGGCAACAACGCGGCAACGACGTTTCTGAGCAAGGATGAGGGGTCATTGGGGTGCACAATGGTACCCGACATGGTCTGGCATGGCACGAATGTCTGCATGGAATACGAGGTTCTGCATGATACAGAGGAGCGACTGGGAAATTTCTGCATGGAATACGATGGTCTGCATGATACAGAGGAGCAGCGGAATTCATTGCAAGCACTACGTGGAGAAGCGAGAATTTGGCACAAGTCTGCACCCAAAACTTGAAGGAGTGGGAATTTAGTGCACGTAGTGCACAACACCTTTTTACAGACAGTCTGGAGTTCTGGTGGCTGGTAGGGCTGCGAAGTATCTGGGCACAACCTGCATGTTTGGATGGTGGACGCTCAACAACGCTCACGTGGACAATGGTGTCGGCACCTAGCGCTGGACTCGGGAACATGGCCCACGGTTGTGCAGCCTATGCTGAGACATGCCATGCGTCAAGACCGATGATGCATGTGCATGCTTCAGCGAGGAATGCTCTGTATAGGTTACTCTCAGAAGGATTGTGACGGTTGGAAGGTGATTGTGCGATGGCCTGGATGTGTTGGGATTTAATTAGAGTGTGAGTCAGTTTGGGGATGTGGTGAATGTGCCAGCCCTTGGCCAATGTGCTGTCGTCGCTGTACTCGGAACCTCGTCAGGCTTGTCCCAGTTGTGAGTGCTGAAACCCTAAACCCTAAACCCTAAACCCTAAACCCTAAACCCTAAACCCTAAACCCTAAACCCTAAACCCTCTAAGCAGGACTGCTTCGATACTTTCTCAGAGATCTTCGATGCCCCGGGCTCGGCGATTTGTCGAGCCCAGGGCCAGGAGTTAGCACTCTTCGAAGGGTTTAGGGTTTAGGGTTTAGGGTTTAGGGTTTAGGGTTTAGGGTTTAGGGCTTTAGGGGTTTAGGGCTTAGGGTTTAGGGGTTTCGGGATATGGGAGTTTCCGAAAATTAGGGGTACCTTATTTTGGGGGTCCTTATAATAAGGATCCTATTATTTGGGGTACTATATTAGGGTCCCCTATTTTCGGAAACCCCTATATGGGTCTCCAAGCTAGGCCCCTTCTGTTCTAACATTTTTGCACTGGCGACGCAAGGTGGCAAACCTAAACTCTACATGCTAAGGCCTCGAGACGGGTTCAAAGTCAAACTCACCCAAGCCCCAGACCATGGCATCCTGACGCCCGAACGCTGCCCCCTCAGCCTAAGGCGTAAAAAAGAGCCTTGTGCCCTGAAGCTTCAACCCGAAGGCGTCTGGAACTTGTCGAACCCAAAAAGACTAATAGACTGGGAAGTTGATGAAGTTAGTGAGAGCTTGGAGAAGTTCTGTTCATATAGACTACAGAGCCCTTATGCAACCCAAATATGCAATGCTTACAGCACCCTTGCAAACTTTAGACGCCTTTTCAGAACCCTAAACCTTCAACTTCGAGGCAAGGAAGGAAGGAAGAGAGAGTGAACGGTGAGTCCAGGGTTGGGTGAGGCCTGGCACCCTGGAGCCCTCAACCCAAAGGCCTAACTGCCTTAATCCCAGCAAACGCACCGGCAACACCTCCTTGAAGCCTCGTATTGAAACCCTAGGGGGATGGGGGTGATTCACTGAAGCGGATCAGGTGGTCATTTCTCGGCTACATGGCTTACTCCCTGCAGGCTGGAAGAAACGTTCGGGGTTGGTACGGTTTTGCTCTTAGCACAGAATCCTTCTTGCAATTGGGGGCCCTTCTGAGGTCCTAGCTCGGGTTCATATTATGTGATGTACATTGTTACCTAGTAGTTGTGAGGCATTGCAAGATGTATATCGACTTGCATTGGGATGGGTGAGTGCGGCAGGTGGCGGTGGGGTCTTCCTGTTCAAAAGTGCCTCGACCCTTCCGCACCCTCGGCATTGCTTGTGTTCTGGCCTCTAGAGCTGTGGCTGTGGTACGAAACGTCGGGTATTGTGGGGTCCCAGCAGCCAAGCTGTCCGTGACCAGTGTTTACAAACGAGCTTGTGCAGACCCCAATATCCTGACCTCAACGCTGCAAGCCACCAAACTCTAAATGCACACCTCTAAACTACAATGACATTGCCTGAAAACGAGATGGGGCTGCCCTCCAAGTTCAAGCCTCCACATGAAGAAACAAAGAGATATTTCGAATCATGGTCGTTAACATGTAGATACATGTAAAAACCAAAGTGTAGATATTCGTAACATGCGCCACCGGAGTACTGTAACGACCGTAACGCCCCTGAAGTGTGAACCCCCACCCGGAACGCTAAACCTTAAAACCTACACCCTGAACCTTGAGCGCCGAACCCTAAGCTCAAGAATCCCGACCTCCTCCCGTCGCCGTGACTGCGTGGTGTAATATGGGAGATATAGAGAGATACGGGACCCTAATACAGGTTCCAGGGGAGAAGGAGTTTCGAAGGCGGACAAAGATATCCAAAAAGGGGCCTTCATCCCAAGCTCCGACAACCCTCAAACTCAGACAACAATTCTTGAACCTGTCCAGAAGAATCAAACCACTTTTGGAAGTACATCTTGTAGACTATGAACCCTTGTAGACTAGAAGCCTTCAACTTTCAATCCGAAACCACCCAACCTCCAAACCAGTATCGCTACAGACCTTGCCAGGCTTGTCCGAGTGAGAGTGTCAAAATCGCCCCAGGCCCGAAACCCGAAACCACTAAACCTCCAAGGGCGAAGCGATCAACCCTCCCCTGAACCCTAAACCCTGAACCCTAAAACCAAACCCTAAACCCTAAACCCCTCAACCGCTCAGAAACCCTAAAGCCCTCATTTCGAAACTCTTTGACAGGCGATGTGGTCTGCCCCTCGCCCCCACGCGCCCTGGTGGAAGATAGTTTGGGGGGAGGCCTTCAGAAACTTCAGGTTTTGGGGGTTAGGTTTCAGGGACCGTTGAGTTGAAGATTTAGGGCGGTGCGGAAGGTGAAGACGCTGGAGGTCCTGGGATGCACGTCCAGACAGTCTTATCTGATCTAGGATTGCCAAGGATCCAGAATTAGAAGCACTCGCGAATCGAACCTTAGCCGTTTCGGCTGGGGTCAGTCTGTAGACTGATTGGCTTGCACATGCAGGGGTCCAACAACCGAAGTTTCGACCTAAAACCGAACCCAGGCCGAACCCATCTCCTAAAGCCCAACTGATCTCAATCCTGAAGACTTCGAGGTTCAATTCCCCCCAAGCCGGATCCCGGGCAACTGTTACAAAG